GGTTAATAGAGTTTTGTCAAGAGAATGTACTGGTCATAGCAAACACCCTCTTCCAACAACACAAGAGAAGATTCTACACATGGGCATCACCAGATGGTCAATACCCGAATCAGACTGATTACATTCTTTGCAGCCAAAGATGGAGAAGCTCTATACAGTCAGCAAAAACAAGACTGGGAGCTGATGGTGGCTCAGATCATGAACTTCTTACTGTCAAATCCAGGCTGAAGTTGAAGAGGGTAGGGAAAACCACTAGACCATTCAGGTATGACCTAAATCAAATCCCTTACAGTGGAAGTGACAAATAGATTCAAGGGATTAGATCTGGTAGACAGAGTGCCTGAAGAACTATGGAGGGAGGTTCGTAACATTGTACAGGAGGCAGGGATCAAGACCATCCCCAAGAAAAAGAAATGCAAAAAGAAAAATGGTTGTCTGAGAAGGCCTTACAAATAGCTGAGAAAAGAAGAGAAGCGAAAAGCGAAGGAGAAAAGGAAATATATACCCATTTGAATGCAGAATTCCAAAGAATAGCAAGGAGAGATAAGAGAGCCCTCCTCAGTGATTGATGCAAAGAAATAAAGAAAAACAGTAGAATGGAAAGACTAGAGATCTCAAGAAAATTAGAGATACCAAGAGAATATTTCATGCAAAGATGGGCTCAATAAAGGACAGAAATGGTATCGACCTAACAGAAGCAAAAGGTATTAAGAAGAGGTGGCAAGAATACACAGAAGAACTGTACAAAAAAGATCTTCACAACCCACATAATCACAATGGTGTAATCACTCACCTACAGCCAGACATCCTGGAATGTGAAGTCAAGTGGGCTTTAGGAAGCGTCACTATGAACAAAGCTAGTGGAGGTGAATTCCAGTTGAGCTATTTCAAATCCTAAAAGATGATGCTGTGAAAGTGCTGCACTCAATATGCCACCAAATTTGGATAACTCAGCATTGGCCACAGGCCTGGAAAAAGTCAGTCTTCATTTCAATCCCAAAGAAAGGCAATTCCAAAGAATGATCAAGCCACTGCACAATTGCACTCATCTCACATGCTAGTAAAGTAATGCTCAAAATTCTCCAAGCCAGGCTTCAACAGTACGTGAACCATGAAATTCCAGAGGGTCAAACTAAATTTAGAAAAGGTGGAGGAACCAGAGATCAAATTGCCAACATCTGTTGGATTATTGAAAAAGCAAGAGAGTTCCAGAAGAACATCTATTTCTGCTCTATTGACTATGCCAAAGCCTTTGACAAACTGTGGAAAATTCTGAAGCAGATGGGAATACCAGACCACCTGACCTGCCTCTTGAGATATCCATGTGCAGTTCAGGAAACAACAGTTAGAACTGGACATGGAACAAGGGACTGGTTCCAAATAGAGAAAGGAGTATGTCAAGGCTATACACTGTCACTGTGCTTATTTATTTTGTATGCAGAGTACATCATGAGAAATGCTGGGCTGGATGAAGCACAAGCTGGAATCAAGATTGCCAGAAGAAATATCAATAACCTCAGATATGCAATGACACCACCCTTATGGCAGAAAGTGAAGAAGAATTAAAGATCCTCTTGAAAGTGAAATGGGAGAGTTTAAAAGTTGGCTTAAAACTCATCATTCAGAAAATTAATATCATGGCATCTGGTCACATCACTCCATGGCAAATAGATGGGGAAATAGTGGAAACAGTGACAGACTTTATTTTGGGGGGATACAATATCACTGCAGATGGTGACTGCAGCCATGAAATTAAAAGACATATGTGCCTTAGAAGAAAAGTTATGACCAACCTAGACAGCATATTAAAAAGCAGAGACATTATTTTGCCAACAAAGGTCCGTTGAGTCAAACCTATATTTTTTCCAGTAGACATGTATGGATGTGAGAGTTGGATCATAAAGAAAGGTGAGCGCTGAAGAATTAATGCTTTTGAACTGTGGTGTTGGAGAAGACTCTTGAGAGTTCCTTGGACTGCAAGGAGATTCAACCAGTCCATCCTAAAGGAAATCAGTCCTGAATATTCACTGGAAGGGCTGATGCTGAAGCTGAATCTTCAACACTTTGGTCACCTGATGCGAAGAACTGACTCATTTGAAAAGACCCTGATGCTGGGAAAGACTGAAGGTGGGAGAAGGGGATGACAGAGGATGAGATGGTTGGATGACATCACCGACTCATTGGACATGAGGTTAATTAAACTCTGGGAGTTGGTGATGGATAGGGTAGTCTGGTGTGCTGCAGTCCATGGGGTCGCAAATAGTCAGACATGATTGAACTAAATCACTAATATCTACATTAAATATTCTTTCTTTTATTAAAGTAGAGATGCTTGTTCTAATTCCTCTTCTAGTCTTCCTATTTCCTCAAGAACAATTGATATCATTAGACTTTCTTTAGGTAATTTTAATATTCTCTGTAAAATTCTCCCAAATGTGAAGATTCAAAGTCATTTGAAGTGGCCAGGAAATAATTTTCTCTGTATGTCCCAAATTTCCTATCCATGTTGGTTCTATAATTTCCACTGTAAAGAATGTTTCTCCTTAATATGGACAGCAAAACAAAATCAGATTGAAGTAACATTATTATTATATCATCTCTTCTTTCATCAAAATTAAAAAAACAATTTGTTTTGATTTTCCCAATATTTGGGTTACCTAAAAGGTGTTAACTTAGTCTCTGTTCATTTTCAATTTATGGCTATTGTCTTACTGTTTATGAATATACAAGAATTTTTCAGTTACTTTGAATGTTTTTCTTATTCAGTTTATATTGGGATGTTTAAAGGACTACATTTTTCTTTCATTGAAATCTTTTATAATGGTAGATTGCTCATATGATGCTACAACTTTTATAATTTCCTACCCAGAGTACAAATTATCTTTTATTTAGATTGCAAAGTCTGTCTTCCCACAGTCCAAGAGAGTAAGTATATCCAATGAACATTTTCATAATTGATAATATGAGATAGTCATTTCCATGCCATCAGTTCTTATCAGTCTACACCTGTTAGTCAAAATTAAGTGCCCAAGTAGATGTTCTCTGTTCTAACCTTCTGAGATATTAAACTGTCACCAAGACAATTATAAATATTAATCAGGTGCTGTCTTTTTCATGATAAGACTCCTAGTGAGTTCCTGTAATTATTCTGTCTTGGCTCTATGTCAACTTTGTAATCTGTTTTAGGAAACAGTCATTCACTTTAGTTTTCTTTTTATGTGCTGGGTCATTTGTTATCTATTTTTTTGAAACCATTCAGGTTTATCAATGGTCTCTCTTAATAACTTTTATGGAGTTCCACACAAATATAGAATTTTTTTGCTATTTGATGATCTTTTTCCTTTTTTTTTCCTATTTATTTTATATAAAATAGGCTTTTTCACTGCCATACTCCAGTCAAAACTTTCATCCCATAAGTTTCTGGTGGTATCTAAGAAACTATGTCACTTCTTTATGCTAAAACTTGTAATTCAAATTTATTCTCTATCTCTCCTTTACCAGCATCAATTATTGTTTGCAAGTGTTAAGGACTTAACCCTTCAACTTCATTTTTCCTCATCTGTACAGAGGAATGATAATATTGATCTCAAAATACATTCATGACAATTAAATGAGATAATGAGGGTCTAGTGCTCATCCTGACTCTCTTGATACACACAGGAGAGCTACTGAAAGGACAGCTCTCTTACCTGTGAAGACAAGGCTGAATAAGCCATCATTATCATGTTTTAGTGACAGAGGATTTTGCATCATCATACACACAGTGGTGATGGCCAATTACCTCCATTTTTTTTTTTAATTTGAATTTCTCTGAAACCTGTGCTTATGGGGGCTATGTAGTCACATACATTTTCTATGCTTTTAAGAATATAAAGTAATAAACTGAACTGAAAGGCCAGTCAGAAATATAGATGTAAGAAATGCAAATTCTGTGGTCAGAAAGTATTTTGAATGAATGTTTAAAATTGTTTGCAAAATTACAGGAATGGTGATTTTATTAATCATAATTCACTGCATTTTATCAGTTCTTAATAAAATGAACAAAACACACCAAATACTTTAAAGTTTTCTCAATAAATATCAGGTAAGACTTTTGACATTTTCAAACCTTTGCCACTGTATATAATTGATATACATATGTTGGCTGAACACAGATTTCTGAGAATAAAGAAAACTTAATATTTTAATCCCAATAATATTTGAAAGTTTGACCAGTGTATTAAAATATAATTCATAGTATATTTTAGTTTTATTTTGCATGATCAAATACTAAAGCTTGCAAATATGTGTTTTCTTATACAAAAATTAAATATTCTTAATTTTAGATATTGGTGATTCTTACAATTACAAAATTCTCTTAACATAGAAGTATGTGAAATGAAGATAACTCAGTTTTCCACGCAAACTCAGCCATACAATGTGGATAAGATTGTTTTACATTGAAGAGTAATTTTTAATCTGAATTAGTTAGAAAATTTCTTGCCATCTCTCATTTACTATGAAAATATAGTCTATATTGGTTGAAACAGATTACGTTGATTGAAAGCTTAGTAAATAGTGAACCATAGGAACTATTTTTACCACATAATTAGTTTGTTTCACTGACCTTTTATTATTACCTGGTGAATAAAACCAAATGTGCATTCATTCATTCATTCACTCATTCAATGAATACCTAGAAGATAGAGTATTATGTTCCATTTAATTTTTTTAATGTTAGTATGCCTAATTTTTTTGTTTTTTTACATTACATGAGAACTCATCCAAAAATACCCCTCTGCCTTTCTATCAAATTACTTTAAATTTGTCTAATTATTTTTAGCAAATTAAGAGATTCTTAAAATGCTTCTATTACAATATTAGCAATTCAGTTTACATTTCTATATTGCTCACATTTTGCATTGGCACCACTCTTTTAAATATAATAATAACCAGACCACTTTAAATACATCATTTTGTAGGTACTGACAATTTGTTTTATTTATCCAGAAGAAGGGCTTTTAGTTCAAGTGAGCTGACACATTTAAGGCTTCTTTCACTCCATTTAATGGTTGCATCTGACTGGAGCAAGAGTGATGGCAAAGATCTTGACCTTGAAACACTGGTTGAATTAGAGGATTCAAGTGGATGATAGAAGTTGTAGCTGGGTTGAAGTGAGGGCCAAACAAGGTGGGGATAAACGCTGCAGGGGGCAAAGGCTGAAATGTTATGTGAGATGGGTGGAAGGGGGCAGTGGTGATTAAATGCAGGGGGTGACCTGCTAAGAAAGTGGGGTGTGCAGGGATGATGGTTGGGGTTAAAGGTGAAAATGTGAATGGATTAAAACGCGGCTGGGAAAGAGGATGTAGATGAGCTATAGGGAGATGACTGCTATGGGCATTTATGGAAGCAGAAACAATATGCTGCAGGAACGTGTGGTGGATGGTGGTGATAGAAGCCTGCTGGTGACCTGGAACTGTCTGTACAGTGGAGGCCGAAGAAAAAGTGGTGGGCCCTGCAGCAGGCAAAACTCGAAGATGCTTTGATAGGAGCTGTTTCTGCATATGCTGCTGGGCTTGTAACTGTAGGAGTTTATATTTATCTATTTCATCAGGAGAAAATGTTATGGGCTGTTGAATTAATGGAGGAGAAAGAGATTTATGACACACTTCTAAGTCATCTGCTACTTTGTCATGCTTCTGCATAGTTCTGTCATAGTAAGAGTTTATATTCCCCTCTATCTGATTCATTTGCATGCTTCCATCCGGTAAGTCCAGATTCATATCATTCTCTTTGGTCTCCATTGAATCAGTAATACCACTATATCTATTAGATGGAAAAGCACCAGGGAAACCACTTAGTACTGGGTCACAGCTTTGACTAGAAGGTTGGGCTTCACCAATTAATGATTTTTGTTGTTCTTTTGTTTTTGGGTCCTTTTTCATGTTTGGTGAGAGAGATTCTGCTACTACATGAATTACACCTTTAGAAAGATGATTATCACAATCAGTTCCCACTAAAACAGTAAAATCATTTGTCGGGGAAATTTTGACTTTGTTTTTGTCAATAGTTCTTTGCATTGCACTGCCTTTATCCTTTCTTCTTCTGCTTTTGTTTGGTGTTTTTCCAGGCAAAGGCAATGAAGGTCTGTTACAGCCTGGTGGTGTAAATGGAATTACACATTGGATTTGTGAAAGAGTCTCTGATTCATTTTTACAGCCGTTTGATGAGATCTCAAAATGAATTGATTGTTCCTGATATTTCTTGGCTTGTACTCTTTCTAAAAGGCTTTTGGCTGTCAGGGAGGTCCTCTCTGCTTCTATAGGGTTCAACTCTGTGGTATCTGAAGGGCTTCTTGGACAGTTCCTTAGAAGGTAGCTGATATTCCCAGAGTTACATTGCATGGGTTTTACTTTTCCCAGATCACAAATATGAGGGCTGTCCAAAGACTGTTGATTCCTTTTACTTGTATTTAAGTAATATATTTTCTCTCTTGAGTGAGAGCCCAATCTGCTGTGCTGAGGTCCCTGGCAATTAGGTGGATTTTCACTGTTTCCAGCACAAGAAACCTGTGAGCTAGAATCACACTGGGTGATTCTTTTGGATTTTTGCCCTGAAAATTGTTGATTTTTGCCCAGTTTATGTTCTTCTCTGCAATGACCATAAGCATGTTTTGAATATGTTTCATTTCTAATTGATTCCCACAATTTGCAGCTCCTGCCTCTCTCAGTTTCAGACTGTGGGCAGTCACCCTTTGCTAACTCATCAGACAAGCAGAGACAACTGTGCTTTCGGCGTTTCCGTTTGTGCCTTTCAACTGAGTTATGTTCTCGTTTGCAAAAGTGGAGCAAATTACCTCTGCCATGTCCACTGGACCCATGATTGGGATAAGAATTTCTCAAGCTTGTTGTACTGGCATGGGATGTGTCTGAAGGGCTAGAACATCTATTCAGAGACACCTTTGGAGAACTTATCTTGTAACTTGCTCTTCTGCATCCAGAAACCCTGCTGGTCATATTGATGTAGTTACTATTCAAAATTGCACGGAAATCCTTCCCATGGTCACTGTGGTCCCTTACTGTGTAAGGACTAGACTTCCAGGTGAACTGATTCCCTTCTTCAACATCCAGATGAGGATCACAAGAAATCAGTTTATGCTTTTTCATCCTAGAGATGCAAGGAGAAAAAGATAGACCCTCATTTGCATCATTTAGAATTACCCTTTGGCAGCTTTGCCAATGGGCCCTTGAAGGTTCTTGAAGTTCATTATCACCATTTTTATTGTTTCCTACACAGCTCTTTAGAGAGATATCAAGGTAAGCAGGCACTTCAGAATTTTTCGTTTCCAAGTCATTTGCACTAAAATTATGTTCACTCTTACTGGACTCAGAATTGTTGCAGCCCAAATTATATTTCCTCTGGAAATTTTCCCAATCTGGATTAGTTATCCTCATCTTTGGTTTCAGAGACCGATTATCTTCTTGGATCAATTTTTGTTGGTCTTTAATTAAACCTGAGACTTGATTCTCCATTGTAGTCTTCATTTCTGAGGGCTCTTTCTGCAATTCTGCTTTTAACTCCTGTGGATCACAGCCACCCTTTGTGTTTCGAGAAAGCTTAAAATCAAAATATAATGGGTTGCAGCCATAAGAAATACAGGGCTCTGTTTTTGTAAAGAGAAGAAGTTCTGTTGGCCATTGGAGAGTCGTATGGCCATCCTTACTTTTTACATGGAGAAAAGGCAATGCTTTGGACTTTACATCATGGGGATATGCCTCTCTTATAAGACTTTGTGCATTTCTGCTAACTCTTTCTGTTTTATCTAACGATTTTTCTCTCTTCTCCTTCCTGGAGTTGGGATTCAGATGAACTGAACTGCTTTGTTCGCTTGGCTCTATTGATGGAAACTCATCCAGACATTCAAATATCCTGGCATCACTATGCTTGTAAATGTTTGTTGGGCTAGAGGAAACATTGGCTTGGCGTGAGTGATTAATGTGGTTTTCTGAAGTGTTCTTCAATGTATTCCTAGTTTCCTTTGCTCTGCTGGAAGGAGTAAAATCCACATCTGAAAGATGAATGTTAGATTTACTGAATGAAGCATGAATGCCAATTGAATTTTCCAGCATTTCATCAACAAAGTCATCCTTGTCTTGCAAAATTTGAGAGTTTATGGAGAGGGTATTGTGTAAAATACTTTCCAGATGGTTTGATGAGATGTTTACATCTTTTCCCTTAGTGAGATGTGTATCTTCATTTGCAAACCTGCAGCACATGCATTTCTCTGCAGATGATTTTGTTTTATAGATGGGTGACTTGTTACAATCGTGGGTTTCTTCTGTGTTCTCACTGAAAACTGATGCTGAAGATTCTAATTTTAGATGCACTTTTTTGGAAAAAGAAAATGACACTCCCGTCCTATGATTTGCATTGCTGAGATCTGAGGATGTTTGTGGTACCCTATTTCCAAACAAACGACGTCGGTCTGTCTGCAACTGGTGTCGATTTGCTGTGGTGGACCGCTGCTTATCAGCAATGCTTCTGGAGAGATTCTTTCCTTTAAGGAGAAGAGCATTCTTCATGCATGACACCTTTCTGCCGTTCTTAACTGGGAAAATTCCTTGCTGAAGTTGTTTTTCTATAGCTACTTTGGGGGCTTTGTATGCCGGCCCATTTCCAGAAACACTGTAAATAAAACAAATATTTAAATGATTAAGACATCAGATTTGAAATCTTATCTATATATGAACATTTCATAATGTATGATGATGGGTTCTGATACTATTTTTGAACTATATCTATTGTAATATAACAATTTCACTGCATTTATGTAACTTAGTATCTCCATGTTTTATAGTAGATATTTCTAAAATGCTTTGCTTAAGTTGGTTTTTTTGAAATTAGCAAAAAGCAAAAGCAATTGAATATCTTATGCTAGTGCTGCTAAAGAAAATAAAGCATTGCATTTACATCACAATATGTCCCCCAGAGACTACTAATTCTTTGGAATATAGATTTAACCTTATTTTGCAAAGAGTTTTCCGATCAGTGCCTTCACCTAAATAGGAAAAAAAAAAAAATGGAACTGAAAGTCACTTCCAAAGCATAAACATATCTCTTTTATTCACTTTTTTAGTTTAAACCAGTTCAGTCGCTCAGTCATGTCTGACTCTTTGACCCATGGACTGCAGCAGGCCAGGCTTCCCCGTCCATCACCAACTCCCGGAGCTTCTCAAACTCATGTTCATCGAGTTGGTGATACCTAGTTCAAGCACTATAAAATTTTTGTTTCCTCAGTCTTAAAATCCCCTCATGTTTGTTTTCTTAGGAAATAGGGTGATCAGTTCTGTCTTTATGACTTGTCACTAATTTGATCAATTCTAAGAAAGTAACACACATTTTTACATGCCACCTCAATGTCTTCAATTAGTCTGAAACCCTTCTTTTAGCTTCTTACTCGTCAAAATATGTTCCTTTTATCTTTTTTGCATATATATGTTTGATCTTTTGACAGATTTTTAAAGATTGTTCTTTTGAGCTTGAGTAGCAATTCAATCAGAAATGGAAAGGATGATATATACAATAGATGAAACTCTTTAGATTAAAATTTTCTCTAATGTACTGTGAAACACCTACTATAAAACAAATCTTATTGCAGGGGGAAACAATATAAATTGCATCATTGTGAGCTGGCTTTGTTTTCATTTTTCTTGCTTTGAGCTGACTTGCTTTCAGCTGCTTTGCTTGTTGGTTTTGAGCTGGCTTTCTTTTCCTTTTTTACTTTCCCTCCACATTTATGGACATGCTTTGTTGGCCTTTTCCTATTTTAGATTTTTACTTCATTTTTATGCAGTCATTTATTGCTTGAGCAAATAGTACTAAAATAACAGATATCCTTTTCACATGTAGCATAAATTCTAATGGGGAAGAATCCTTTCCTAGCCTTTGTTCTGACAAATTCTTTCTTATTGCTTTTACTTAACTATTTGATCAACTGCCATAGAACTCTGGTGTCACGACATTCCTTGTGTTCACCAAATTTCATTGCTTTCCTTCACTGTCTTTATATGTTTAATATTACAGAGACATATTTAATTAGCCTACTTTTATTCATATTGAAACAAATCCACTTGTGCATTTGCATGATTTTATAAATTTTCCTTTTTATGTATACATAATATATTTTGTTATATTTATTTGAAACAATGAACTATGTATATATACATAATTTACATGTATATATTTTATTATGTATACATATACATATATGTAGGGCTTCCTTGATAGTTCAGTTGGTAAAGAATCCACCTGCAATGCAGGAGACCCCAGTTTGATTCCTAGGTTGGGAAGATCCGCTGGAGAAGGGAAAGGGGATTCTGATCTGGAGAATTCCATGGACTACAGTCCACGGGGTCACAAAGAGTTGGACACGACTGAGCGACTTTCACTTTCACACTCACATATACATATATGTATATGTATTTTGTTATACTTAATACATACAAATAATTATGTGTATATCTCACTTTACCAAGCTATAGTTACAAATTGATTTCTATTGGTTAATTTTTGCCAACATTTCTGGGAACTTTCAATTCAACTTTCTTCGCTCAGATACATTTTCTTCTCTGGTTTATCTGATTATTGCCCTTCCCAGTCCTAGTATCTTATCCTAGAGTTTATACATTAAACTTATTTGCTCTCATGACTATATGCTTTGGTTTATTACTTATATTAGTACTCTAGTGCTTTTAGTCTCTTGTTCTAGTTCAGAAAAAGAATTTGTTTTTAATTTCTATTTTATGGATTCAGTATTTTTCAATGTCCAATCTGTTTATTATATCCATATGGATTTTGATTTATAAATAATAATTTTAGTCACCAGTCTTTAATAATTTCAGATAGCTCTTTTTCTATGAACTAATAATGTCTGTAATTTTAGAGTTGTATTCTTGAATATTGTGGAAAACTAAATTTGGAAAAATTTTAAAGTGTTTGCTCCTTACAGTAACTATTTCATAATGAAAACTTTTATTCATCACATTGATCTCCTTTCTTGAATTATTCCATTGTAGATACTGGGCTATTTTTAATATTCTCTTTTCCTTAATAATGGTTTTGCTTATTATTCTGGCATTGTTTTGTGCATTTTTTTTCTTTATGTTAATCTAAATATTCTTTTCTATATTGCTGTTTCACTTCACCATTTATCTTTCTAATATGTATAAAAGCTTCTTTTGTAGTATTCCAAATATGTTTAAACTTCTTTGCTCTTATGTGTTACATTCTGCTCTTCTTCTCCTTATTCTGTTCTCACTTTACAATTCAATATACATTTATGATTATATTTTTACAATGTTAACATTTTATCCTTATTATTCATATCTATTTCTTATATTTATGCTTTAAACTTTTTATCTCATTGCCTAGGAAATTTAATTTCCTATACCTTAAATCTAATTTATTTTTATCTTTGTGATACTTTAAATTTTATTATTTTAATTCAAGCTTATGCCTTGTGACATAATTAAAGGCTTAATGTTTGCTGTCATACTCCCATTTACAATTTCACTTTCTCCTCTAGAATAATTTTTAGTTTATTTCTGTATTTTTACCTAATTATTTTTATTTATAATTTTGAAATGACATTAGTTAACCTTTAGCTCTTATTAATGGATTGTCCATTTCAATAGTTCTCCCAAATCCGATGCTTGGTAACTCATTACCTGCATCATTTAATTCTCTCCTGGGCAAAAAGTACACTTTTCAAATAAGAATTAAAGCATGTCAAAATAACATGATTTCTTTAAGTGATGTAATTTCCTAATGTTCTACGTTATCCAGCTCTTATATAAAGAATGTCATACTCTCAGAAGCAATGGTCACAACTTTTAAAATTTGAAAAAAAAAGTCCATATCAAGATGCATTAGACTTATACATAGTAGAAATTTATGAACAGAGTTGAATCTCTTTCCTCTCCCAATAAGATAATTAGTTTTACTGAACAATCATGTTGTGTTGATCTACCTAAGAGGTGGCTAAGGTTGACTGAGCTTTACAAGATTCATTAACAATTTTCTGCCATCATTTTTTAAAAATTAATCTTATTCAAATATTCTTACTACCTGCAAATTCACCTCTCCTCTCCATAGGGTCATGGAAGAATTCTGTTATCTATGTCATCTTACTCAGAAGCCCTCATTATGAGAACAAAGGACAAAGAAGGGTTATCCGAGAAGAAGTAACACAGATGGCTTTTTTCACTTGTCAATTCAGTTGCCAAAATGAAAATATTTAATAATGCTATGAACAGACTTCCCTTAGGGCAAGTGCCTACTAATCTGAGAGAACAATTGTCTGGAGGGCAGATGGTGGGTAATAGAAAAAAAAAAGAAGTAATTTTCCTAGTTCCAAGTTCTGAATCTGGGAAGTTGAATACCTATCATTTCCTAACAATATGATCGGATTGGGACCCAGAGAGCCTAACTACTCTATGGAAGAAAATGCCTAGTTTTGTTTCATTTAGTTATTAAGATTTCCAAAGGCAGCTCAACCCCAATAGAGTTTATCATTTATTTTATTCAAGACACTTCCTAGATAACTCTGTATACTAGAACTTTTAAATGAAAGCATCATCACCATCACTGTCCTCACTATCAAGGCTCCTCTGATCCTTTGTCTACTTTTTACAAAAGAAAATATGGAATGAGTGAGGAGAAATGTAGAAGTGTGACAACTTTCATAATAACAAAGGAATCAAAATTCTGTATATTAAGACTACTCTTTTTTTTTTTATTGTGTGACTTTAAAGAACCTATCTAAAGGGTCTCTCTACAGTGAGACTTGCCCTGCCTTTCTAATTTGACTTTTTGTAATTAATCATCCAGGAATTAACACATTCCCTCAATTATCTCCTGTGTACCATCCTAATGATCATTAGACCTTTCCTTCTAAGCCCTGCTTTGAGAAGATATCCTGTCTGATATCTTATTGGCAATAAATTTGATCTTTATTGTGTTGACAATAAGTTCAGTACAAGTTATGTGTCCTGTTTCTGTGATCGCATGTGCCCTAAAAACATGCATTTTTGTATTAACCTCACCTCTGGACACATGGTCTTCTAACCTTTATTATTTTTTTTCTTTATACCAAATTTCTCACTTATTTTTTCATATTATCTTTTTTATATCTTTATAAGCAAATTAAAATATTCTAAATAGTGACAAAAATACTTGAGTACTTGCAAGGTGACTGCTAACTGCAACTTAATTCAAAATTGATCCTAAAAAATATTTTTTTTAAAGTAAATATGAGGTCTAATATTCTGTTGCTGCTGCTGCTGCTGCGTCGCTTCAGTCGTGTCCGACTCTGTGCGACCCTATAGAAGTCAGCCCACCAGGCTCCCCCATCCCTGGGATTCTCCAGGCAAGGACACTGGAGTGGGTTGCCATTGCCTTCTCCAATGCATGAAAGTGAAAAATGAAAGTGAAGTCGCTCAGTCGTGTCTGACTCTTCACGACCCCATGGACCACAGCCCACCAGGCTCCTCCGTCCATGGGATTTTCCAGGCAAGAGTCCTGGAGTGGGGTGCCATTTCCTTCTCCTACTATAATTGAGTCATTCTCTCCCAAGTTTACTGTATATTGTTTTTCATTTAAACAATAGGAGTTTAAATTTTGGCACAGAACTACAAATGTTACAATTCACCAGCTTGCTGTCAGCTACATTAATTAGCTACATTAGTGTTCTATATTATGATTCATATGAACACAAATCACAATCTGCAAATGTAATTGAGCTCCAGGTAACAAACTCCTTACTACAAAACATCCACGAGTTCTGAGCCCATGTAAAACTGCTATTTTTCAGCTACAAGAATGTATCAGTATAATGCTTGTTACAATTATCAATTTAAATGGCACCATGTGGTAAATTTAACTGCATTAATTACATCTTGTTTGTCATCCAGACAATGATAGTGACATTTATTCTAGTTTCAGGTGTGTACAGAGGAATGCACAGATTTATTTCCTCTCCCAGAAGATGCATTGTTACTTATGATTTTAAAAAAAAAATAATATTATAAGACAAAATTACTGTGAAGCACTATAGAGATGCATAAGATACATATAAATCACCTGGATAGAATAAATGCCTGTATATTAGAATTATTCTTGGATCATTTCATTAAAGAACACATTAACAATATTAGGCAAGAAAAACCTCAGATGTCAAACTCATTAATTTATAACCCTTTAGCTATTAGGAATATGTACCTTCAGATATATCTGTTGATTAATTAAATTTGTTTACATTGTTTAGAGAACCAAAAAAATATATCATTGAAATTTCCTGAGACTCTGAAGAGAGTTTTGAACCACCTGAGGCACCTTGAATTCTTACCATTCAGACTGTTGCCTTAACTCAGCCAGCTGATGAAGTCGCTTAAGTGCTTTTTCTTGTTTTTTTTCATCTTTCCATGACTTGGAAGCTACATTTCGAGCAAATTCACGTTGCTTTAATTCTTTCAGTCTCTGTGGACAAAGAAGCAAAACAGAAAGGACACGATGAATAAGTAATATATCTTTTTTCCATCCAAAAGCTTCATTATTAAACTCTGTCCAGGGTACAGAGGTGACTTTCTGGATAGGGAAGCACCTTCTCCATCAGTGCTCTTCTCTGCTCCAAGATCAATTTAATTGTCAACTGGGTTATTTATCAAAGCTTGTCACAATCACTACAGAATTGTACTGCAAAGCTGGACTGCAGTCCTTACCAGGACCACCCTGGGTATGTAATTGCAATAATCTCTGTGCCTGTGAAAACACAAATGGAGGATACTGTGCAATATATGAATGGGTATAAAGGGAGAGAAAGTTATGCAATGCACTTCCCTCCATGCAATGTTACCAGCTCTCTCACTTATAAAAACATAACTGCTTTTATTCCTGAAAATTGGTATGATGAAATACACTGGGTAAAATGAGCTTATTTCAGTAAAGAAATCTGTTATTGTGTAAGATTTAGTTCATAGCTCTAAATGCAATTTTTAATTCATTTTTTTCTCTCATGGAGATATTTATCCAACTCTGATTTCTATATTGTATTCAGGAGGAAAAGAATGGGTCAAGGATTTAAATTCAGGATAGAGGTTTGGCCTACAACTTCTTTGAATTAATCTTGTCTCTAAAACAATTGGCTTATGTGAAGATTGGATGCTGCTCATTAGCTGTTTGGATCACTACTTCAGAATATGCCATTGTGCTTAGTCACTCAGTTGTGTCCAATCTTTGCAACCCCATGGACTATATCCCGCCAGGCTCCTCTGTCCATGGGATTCTCCAGGCAAGAATACGCAGTGAGTTGACATGCCCTCCTCCAGGAGATCTTCCCAACCCAGGTCTCCCACACTGCAGGCGGATTCTTTTACCATGTGAGCCGCCAGGGAAGCCTAAGGATAATGAACAGATTGAGGTACAGCCACAACCAAATGAGCATCTTGAAGTTTGGGGCTTAATCCTGATTTAAGAGTATATTTGAAGAGTAGCCCTCTAAACCCATATAAAATGATTTTAAACTGCCTGAAATCTGTGTCATTTAATCTGCTTTTATTTCCCGAATCAAGTACAAAAAGACGTTTTCCAGGAAAGGCAAAATAGGCAATTACATTGTGGTATACTATTTCTCACCTACAGAATAAGGGCCAAGACCTTTAATGATCATTAGTTTCCTTTTTGAAAGGGAACATGTTCAGAGGAGATTGTAGTCAAATCACTGTTCCCAGGCTAAGTATTTAAGGAGGGAAACAGAATACTCTTTCAAAGAAAATATTCTGAGGAGAAAGAGCAAGAGTTTCACAGAACTAGAAACAACCACAGAGAGAAAAGTAGAGTCAACCTAAATTTGGTTTTTGACAAATGTTTCAGAGGCTTTTAAAAAACAGGAGATTTCAAAAAATCAAACTGTGGCCCATGTGTTATCAGAAAAAAAAAAAGAAAAAAAAGGATCAACAACTCTCTAGAGCTGATAACTCTCTAGAGCTGCATGACCTAAACCTTAAAGGCTATCCTTGGTCAGAAGACTGAGAGGCTTATAAAAATCCCCATTTCTACTTACCCTCCTACTCTCACCTCCTCATCCCCCATATGCATAATTATCTAGTTACTGGATTTAATTATCTTATGAGCAAAGACATTTTAGAAATTGTCCATCATAATACAAGAGCCCACAGAGAATGCAGTTCAACTGAGTGAAAGAGAGAGACCATGGCTACTTTGATAAAGAGGAGAGGGATTTATTTATTTATTTATTTATTTTTATTTTTTACTCTCAATTACTACTGAACATAAAATATTCTATGATATATTTATTTAATATTTGATATTACTAGGATATAAAACCTGAATAGCCTACGAGAGGAAACCTGTTCTCATTTACTCACAACATCTGAGTATACCTGGTTCTTTCATTAGCCTTTTTCATTTTTTAATATTTTACTCCTATTTCTGAGTTACAGAGATGATTGAGAATTTTGTCTCATTCATCCTACAACAAATACTGTTAATTCCTACTATGTACTGCAGATATAGAAATGCACACATCAACTACCTTTCCCTCAAGGGAGACAAACAAGTGAACATATTTTTAACATATAGGATTGAGTTTCTTAAGAGTGGACAAGATGCTTTAGAAGCATACAGAAAAAGTTAAGATAGACTGGGGGTGGCGATGGAGAATTGCTGTGTTGAGGAAATCAGCAAAGCTGAAATATTTTTAAGGAACACAGAAAACTAGAAAATGACCTGAAGTCACAGTCTTGCCTTGGCCAAAGCTGAGTGCTCAAGACTACACAAGGAAATCCCTGCAGAGATCTGCAGAGGGGGTCCTTCAAAGTTCAGCATATTCATCAGCACTACATGTGTGTAAGGCAACTATTCCAGGCCAAGAAAACAACCACCTGAAATAACTAAAGGAAACAATGCCTAGCATTCATATAGAACCAGAAATAGTGCCTGCGCTTACCAACAAAATTGGAAAAGGTCTTGGGACACTGAGTAGAGAATTCAGGGAGCCTTGCTTCAGCAGAGAAGAATTAGCCATATATTGAGCACTACTTTACATTTGCCTAAGAAATGATTTTTATCATTTTATCAAAGCTAAAAGTATACATCTGATTCCAAGCAACTAAACTGCATTTCAGAACCAAACTCAAGAATATTTATAAAAATATAAACTTTCACAAACAAGGAAAAATAAATGAGACCTAATCAAAGATTTTTAGACATGTAAAGAAATGAGAAAACACATCCAAAAATAGGAAGTCAACCAGTCAAAACCAATACAGAACTGACACTGATGCTAGAATTGGCAGAAAAGTATATTAAGACAATTATAACTGCATACCATATATTCAAAATGTAGAAAAGAGACAGTGGACAAATGTGTGGTTGGAGTCTCTGAAGAAAAAGGAAGGAATATTTGAAAATACAGTGGGTGATAATATTTCAAATTTTCTGAAAACTATAAATACACCGATTCTCTCCCTTCTCCCCTAAAAAAAAAACTTCAAGCACAAGTGATGTGAAGACAACTACACCAAGGCTCAGCATAATCAAATTTTTCAAAGCCAGGAAAAAAGTGAAAATTTTAAAAAAGTATCCAGAGAGAAAAGACATATTTCTGTACAGAAGAACGAATATGAGGATGGCAGAATTCTCACTAGAAACAAGCAATTGAGGATATAATGGAGTAACATTTTCAAATTTCTGAAAGAAAATTTAAAACTTTAAAAAATCAAATTCTAGACCCAGTGAACATATCCTTAAAAAAGGGTGAAATAGAGACAATAGCAAACACTAAAATCTGAAAGAATTCAACAGCAGAAAACCACATGATAAGAAACATTAAAGAATATCATTGGACAAAAGGAAAGTATTAACAGGTAGATGGATATATATATATATATACATATATATCTACAAAAAACAATGACACCAGAAATAGTAACCATAATGATGACTAAGACATCTGGACAGTTTTACAAGGTCAGTGGGTGGAGCCTTTTCTAAAGGAGAGGATAGAAAAGGGAAACATGTTGAGTACATTCCTTACCTTGTGTTGAATAATTTATAATGTTTTATGGAAATATTTGTATTTTCTGTGAATCCAAGATCATATGTCACTACTGAAGAAAATAATAAATTTAGGATTAAAGCATTGATTTGTTGTCAAACTTCCTTGATAAATTTTATTTGAAGCTGGCCCTTGGGCTTCTCTGCTGGCTCAGCTGGTAAAGAATCTCCCTGCAATGCAGGAGACCCTGGATCGATCCCTGGGTCAGCGAGTTCCCCTGGAGAAGGGATGGGCTACCCACCCCAGTATTCTTGGGTTTCCCTGGTGGCTCAGACGGTAAAGAATCTGCCTGCAATGAGACCTGAGTTCGATCCCTAGGTTGGGAAGATCCCCTGGAGAAGGGGATGGCTACCTACTCCAGCATTTTTGCCTCAAGAATTCCATGAACAAAGGAGCCAGCAAGGCTATAGTCTATGGGGTCACAAAGAGTTGGACACGACTGAGCAACCTTCACTTCTTTCACTTTTGCCCTTGGTTATTAGAACCTATCGAACCTATAGCTCAATCGTGTCCGACTCTTTGAGACCGCATGGACTCTAACCTACCAGGCTCCTCTGTCCATGGGATTTCCCAGGCAAGAGTACTGGAGGGGGTTGCCATTTCCTTCTCCAGGGGATCTTCTCAACCCAGGGATCGAACCCAGGTCTCCTGCATTGCAGGCAGATGCTCTACCATCTGAGCCACCAAGAAGGCCCTATGATATCCTACTGCCTTCCAATATATAGGATATCATATTTGCACTACCAAAACAAAACATTTTCCTTTTAAACCTTCAGATAGCTGTTTGTTTGTGATGAAAAATAAAAATTTGTTTTCCTCAAAATTTCTCTGTAAAACAAAATGTATCTTATACATATGTGTGTGTCATAGAACAGTAATGATATTGGATATGTTTCTTTGTATTACAATTTCCTTATTTGCCCAGTGGAGATGATGCAAGGTCCCTAACAAGTTCACTAGGCTGTTGCAACCATCAAGAAGATCATTTATGTGCATGTTTTTAGAGATAAATAAGCATTATGGAAAATGTCCTTATGCTGATAGCAGCTACTAGGGATTAAGTTAGATCCCTTTGGGTAAAGAATACAGAACTTCCTTTATTATAGCTAGGTGATAAGTCCTGCCTGGTTCTTTGGCTCAGAGCCGGATAACCTTAGAGAAGAAACAAACAAAAAAAAAGACAATTGAGATCTTTCTAAGGCTGGTAGGTATATTAAAAAGCAGAGACTTGACTTTACCAACAAAGGTTCGTTGAGTCAAAGCTCTGGTTTTTCCAGTAGTGTGAGAGTTGGACTATAAAGAAAGCTGAGCACCAAAGAATTGATGCTTTTGAACTGTGGTGTTGGAAAAAGACTCTTGAGAGTCCCTTGGACTGCAAGGAGATCCAACCAGTCCATCCTAA